CTGACATGCAGCGTTAATTATAGGAGCTTAAATGCACACTTTTGAACGTCTCTAAACTATTATGTCTAGTCCCCTAAGGTTGCCACGAGAGGAGCCTAGACAGGTTCTAGATGCATTTTCAAAAATTGCTGATTCAAACAAGATACATCTAATGCCACTTTGCATTCAGAGTCATATAATCACATAGTGCTGTGCCAAAGTTTTGAGTCACCCCTCATTTCTAACTTTCATATTATCAAAATATATTTTCACTACATGTTAGCTGAAGATATTAAACATGGAATGCAGCGCTGCAATTCATCATAGTGTAGGAGTTAATTATTTCCCTTTGTAACGTTCCTAAAATCCATGAGGCATTTGGAGTATTTCACTTTTAGTGTCATTGCCAAATATTTGATTATTTTTTAATTGTTTTTCCAATAATCAACGAATTGATTAATATGTGCTTCTTATGTAATCCCCTCCCCCCCAAGTTCTGTTTTGTGTGACAATCCAAAAAGTAAACTTCTTTTAGGTTTCGTAAAGATCTAAAACCCCAAAATTGCTCAGTTTACTCATTTAAGACGAAGGAAAGGAGAATATCCTCAGGAAAAGACACATGAAAAGAAATCCACATGACTAGAGAATTTTTGCTTGGAAACATTACATAGCTTAATTGATTAATTAGTATTTTCTCAAAGTAATAATAATAAATAACCAAAGTAAAAATTAAATTAGTATTAAAGTAGTTCTAAACAAATGTAATGAGCAGGTGGCAGCACCCTTACTGTTTACACAGTCGGAGTTGTGTCCTTTCCCCTCTTCAGGCTAACCTCATGAAAACGTGAACGAGAAGCTCTGACAGTATCACACACAACACAAGCAAGGCTTAATCTACTGCGTGTGGGATTCCCAGATCCACTGGTGGCTTTTAGATCCGCGTGGGTTACAACACACATCTGTAACTCACCGCAGTGTGCTCGGTCCTGGAGGTCTCACTGCTGTCCTGGGTAAAGCTGTAGCAAAGGCGAACGCACGCAAGAAGGAAAAAAAAAACTAAAACTCCTACTTCGCTCAGGAAAAAATGACCTCCGGATTATCTCTGCTGCGAGCCGTGATGGTTTTTATGTTACTTTTATTTTTGTATTTGTTCACAGAATGCGGGATGAGCTGGCAGCGCTGTCGAAGAACGCCTCGCTGTGTGTCAGTCGGCAGCAGCTGTGATGTGTTTATGCTGTGGAGAAGCAAAGAGTGGCGCCATCTACCGGTGGAGTCTGAGAACAGCAGGAAAACAGTGAGAAGGCGCTTACCGGACACTTTATTAGGTACACCTTGCTCCTGTCTGTTTTCATGGATCTGTGGGATTTAGATGTGGTGACTGTGGAGGCCATTTACGCACAGTGAAGTCATTTTCATGTCCATGAAACCAGTTTGAGACATGGTGTGTTCTCCTTTGTGCTCATAAAGGGATGGGCAAGGTTAGCAACGATCAGGTAGGCTGTGCTGGTAAATGATCCAGGGATCCATGTTGTTTATGCCAAATTCTGAGCCTTCCATCCAAATGTCACAGCAGAAATCTATTTTGGTGAGCCTGTGTGGATTGTAGCTTCAGTTTCCTGTTCACAGCAGACAAGAGTGGCACCTGGTGTGGTCTTCTGCTCCTGTAGCCCATCTGCCTCAAAGTTTTGCATAAGATGTGATGCTTGTCTGCACACTTTGGTTGTAATGATGGGTTATTTGAGTTTCTGATGTCTTGCGGTTGAAGCAGTGTGGCCATTTTCCTGTGAACTCTGTCATCAACAAGTACCTTTTTTTTTTTTTTTTTTACCAGAGAAAAGGACTTGTGACCCAGAGAACTGCCACTTACTCAGTGTCCTTTCTGTAAATTCGAGAGATGGTTGTGTGGGAAAACTAGATCAGTAGTTTCTGAAATACACACAACAGCCTGCCCCTCTTGACCATTTTTACATGCCTAAATGTACTGAGTTGGTGTCACAAATACTGAGATCCTATATGTTAGGGCAAGAGAAGAACATGCTGGGAAATTTAGGAGAAGTGGACATTTGCTATTTATTTTTCCCAAATTTGCCTTGTTGGCAGCTTTTGTCTTGTAAAGTTTTTTTCTCATGAAATTTTCAGGTTTTTCTAATAACTTTGTCACATATTTAACAATAAATCTGCATTTGTTCTCATTAATTCAATTTAGTCAATATTTGACAATATTGACAATTTTTTCTTGCAAAATGCAAAAAATTGCCACGTTTTTTCTCAATTTGCTGTTTTTATGTTTCTCAATTTCTCCTAAATATGACACTTTTTGTCTCCTGAATATGACCAAATTCATATTTTTTCATGTGAATTTGCTAGATCTTTATTTTTTCCCTATATATTTCTATTTTTTTGAGTAAGTAATATACCAATTTTTTTCCAAAACATTTGCCTTATTTCTTCCAATTTTAACAATTTTTTCTTGTTGATTTACAAAATTTACAAAAAAACTAAACCTTTTAGTATTTTCTTAGTCTTGTATTTTTTCACTCTCACCTTTTGTCCTTTGCAATAATCATAAGTGTGTCATGTGCATTTGTCTTTATTTGTTTTATAAAAAATGTCAATATTTTTCTGTCAATGTTGAAAATGCTCTGGGAAAAAAATGGATAACACAGTATCATCTAAACAATTTAATATATTTACATAATTACGTGCATTAGTCAACCTTTTTAATAAAGCTCTTACAGCTAATTGGTAGCTGCCGTGGGTGCTGAGAGAAACTGTGAGAGAAACTTAACAAATGGCTGAAAAAAGCTCAGCTTCAGCTTGGACTCTACACGTAGACTAACAGAGCGAATGCCTCCCAGCCTGTGGAGTCACATTTCAGTGCTTTTCCATTCAGCAGTACATGTGAGTCCTTACCCAATCATATGTCAGCTACAGCTTGTTTTTGACCCTGTCCTCAGACCACCCCTCAAACCACCCAGCACTCTCCACATGCTGGGTGGTTTGAGGGTAACATATAGGATCTCATAGCACACACAGAGACACACACATATTCTGCAGTTTTGATATTTGAGATAGGACGCAAACTCAGTCAATATAGGTGAAAAGTTCTGGTTATAAAAGAAGCCTGCTGTTAGTGATATTAGACTCTCAGGGGAAGAGGATACAAAATCACAGAACACCCTGTTAATTTAATATGTTGAAATTCTCACCAGGTATATACTTAGACTGCTCTTACAGTTCAGTCACAGTAACTCAAAGAATCTCATAAAAATGATTATCATCAGTATCATCATGATTTGGAGCTGCTTTGTTTTTGGTCGGATGAAGAGCAGATGTGGTTGAATCTTTACCAAGATGCATTAAATAGGTTGACTTTTTTTCATATGTTGATGTATTTTAAAGTAAGAATCCTGAATTTATTCCAATAGAGATGGTTTAGACATGTGCAGGGGAAGGGTGGTGGATATATTCAGGAGGAAAAGGGAAAGGCCGCAGAGGAGGTTCATGGATGTGGCGAAGGAGGACGTGCAGAGGGTTGGTGTGGCAAAGGAAGATGCAAGAAGAGAGTGAGGTGAAGGAAGAGGATTTGCTGTGGTGACCGCTAAATGGAACTGCCGAAAGAAGAAGAAGATGTATTTGGCATAACTTACAGAGGTTCAATAAAGACGTCCCCAAAATATTTAACAATTATCTCCATACTAGTTTTTTGTTTTGTTTATTGTTGCATACATGCCTTCTTATTTTACTAAACTGTTACCTGGATTTCACCTGGAAGTCACCCCCTGAAAGGCCTCATGGGAAACTGGTTCCTATGTGTAGTTCTTCAAGTGGAGTGTGTCTGCTGTGCAAAATGAGTCTGTGCTGTGTTGTGTGGCCTATAGTGAATATCCTGTTTGTACAAGTGTGAGTGTTCACTTATGTATCATGTGTGTAAAATCCATATATTCATGTTACTTTGGCAAGGTTTAGGGAAAGAAAACATGTTAATCTTTCTAAGACATTTCCGTTTCAGTTTTTATTTGTCATATGCAAGTTAGCACAGGGTCAACATTGCAATGAAATGTATTTGACGAGGAGCAGACAGTCACTCAGCAGTATAGTATGTAAAAAATAGTAAGAGCAAATGCTCTAGCACATTTGATGCTAGAGTTATATTATTATTCAAAATACTAATCACCCGAACGACAACACTTCACAAAAAAAAAAGAAAAAAAAAGACATGAGCAAGAATTTATAGTCCTGTGTCCTGAGCATCCATCAAGCACCACTACAGCACAGGCTTGTGATACTGTCACAGTGGTAACCAGTGCCCTCTAGAGGACCAAGTGTGCACACAGGCAGAAACACAATAGAACTACAGCTTCTATTATTATGCTCCATCAGGCTGACAAAAATAGAGGCTACTGTGCTTTTAAACATCATTAGCAAACTTTTACATTTTTTGGGTGTGATCTTTCTTTTCTATTTTTTTAGTTTCACACATAATATCTTCTTGATCTACTGATTTTACACACCAGGTGAAAGATTTTCTGCTTTCTCAATCATGCCTTACACATTATGTTTAGACCACCGAAGGGCAACTTCGTCATTTTAGCACCAATTAATGTAAAAATCCTGGTTAATTCCTAAGACTTGAAATATTTCTTGCAGCTATTTGTTGCATAATGACAGACCACTGCTGGGCTATAATCCAGTCTGCCTGTATAAGTTCTACCTCTGACGGGAGTTTTAAGTACTTGAAATGAAGGCATCTGGACTTATGCCAGTATTTAATACCTGGGACTTTTCTACATGAATTGTGCAACAAAAAAATCGAATGTTCAAATATGAGTCTATGTGACCTTTGGCTAAATCACGCTGACTCAGCTTATGGAAGCCTTATCCAGGATAAACAGCTGTGACGTAGCTGCTGCTTTTCTCCTACAATGAAAAAAGGACAAAAAAACAGCACACCGTTCTTGTTGTTCCCAAGGCAAACAGGATTATCACATATTTTTACTGGAAATAGACACACAGTGACACAAAGTTTGGTGGAGAAATGGAAGCAGTGGAAAAGAACGCCAAGTCTCTGTTCACGGCTTATGAATTGTGGGTGTTTCTTCAGTGTGGGAATTCCTGAACTCTAATGAGTAAAAACCACCAACCCTCCTCCAACCCTCTCCAGCTGGTTATATGAGCCTGAGTGCTATTGTGCTAGTCCAGAGGAGACGGCTGAACTCTGAGGAGCACATCATGAAGGTAAGCACTTATCAAATTTAGATTATATCTAAAAATAATTGGGAGGTATTTTTTTGGCTAATCGAGCATAACTACTATTAAATGAGGAGTTTTTACATTAAATGAACTCTTTCCCTGCATTTTTTTCACAGCTGAATTTGGCTGCTGCTTTGGCGTTGTCACTTGCCTTCATCTCTCCTGTTTGGTAGGTGCACACATGCAGAAATCTTTGACACTGTTGGCTGTTAAACTTATCTCTGGTACACTGTTTGTCAAAAATCATAGTTTAGATTTTTTTTTTCATTATGAAAGGTTTTTCTACTATCTGTTCATTTTAAATAATATAATATAACATAACTGTTTTGCAATGAATACACTGTCCCATCCTCATCCCCAGTTGTCAGCAGCCTGTAAACTGCAGATGGGGGCCTTATGGAGACTGGTCTGAGTGTGATGGCTGCACAAGTACAAAGGTACATTGGAACTGCTTCAGCATTCACTTACATGCAGCAGAGACATGTAGCTAAAAGCTTTGCACGTAAATAGAGTGCCTTTTAGCCTGAGGCACTGTAAATTCTAACGAGTAATTGTGTTTCTACTCCTGCTCAAGGACACTTAAGCACAAGGAGTGCCTCGGAATCAACTCTCCAGTCCTAAAACAGCTCTAAACCCATAGACTGTATATAAAAGATGGGATCTCAAATCAACTACTGATTTGAGAAGTCCTGTTGTGAAACCTCAAACTGAACGCCAAACTGCAATTTTGAAATTGGCACTGCATGGAGGGAGAAAAGCTACAGCCCCAGACTTGACTGGGGAAGCTGACAATCACACATGCCAGAAACAGTTATAAACAAAAATGGAGTCAGAAATAAGACGTGTGTAAATGTCGAACAGCAGTTGCTCTTCCGTACTCTGAAGAGTAGCAATTATACAGCACTTATTACTGAAGAGGAGCTTTAAATGGAGTGATAATTTAAAATATTAGTGTCATGTTGTATTAAATAGAGCCTAAAACTAGTTATTGAGATCATACAGAAACTTTTTACAGCCTAGGCCTTTTTCTTCACGTAGATTTCTAGACAACAAAAGATGCCAGAGTCGCCCCCTGCAGGCCTTTAGAAAGATGCAGCTTTATGGCACTTCCACTTTAGCTTTACTTTGAGAACTAGAAGCGAAATCTAATTTTTACACATGCATCTTGCTGTATGGGTAATTTGGCCCTACTTTTTGAATAATATCTTTAGGAACTTAAAAACAAACTTTAGTTTTGGCTTGCCTGCCTGACCCCTAGTTTAAACAAACTGTTACATAATGCAAAAAATGTTTGAGGCATAGGCAAAGATCACCCCACAAGTTTGGTTTTTTTTGTTCTGTCTCTTCTGATCTTCACTTTCTGATCTTCACTTTAAAGCCAATCCTTATAGTATAATGTTTTAAAGATCAGTGTTTTGTCCCGAGATGTGCATTATTTCTGCACAGTTTGTCCCTTTGCTGTGACATAATGAATATAGTGCACACACAAATTGTTTACACAGCAGTCACACATTCAGTGATGCCTGATCCCCCAAGTCCATTACGAAGACTCTGATTTGCACTTTGTGTAATCCTCAGGCCAACAGAAACGAAAGGCCTCAGGACTGTGAGAGGAAACACAGTGAGAGCGCTCCATCTATTCATTACACTTGCATGCCTACAGTTTAGTCAGAGCCACTGCAGTCAAAGGAGAAGTAATGTTTCTATCTTAGCAGAAGCAAGGTCATCACCAAACAGAGCAGGAGTGAGTGACCAAGGATTGGATATTTATGAAGTCAGATACTAGCTAAAAGGAAGAACTGGGGTGGAAGTGGGTTTCAAAGCAGTGTATTGATAAACAACAATTGTAGGCAATTGAGCTTCAATAGTGCATGTGACCATGCCAATAAGCGAGCTTACATAGGGTGCACTAGCAGTATTAGCGTGCAAAAAGACTATTTCAGTTCAGTTCAGTTCAGTTCATTTTTATTTCAAACATTTCAAACATGTGCCTTCACAATCATTACAAAATATCATTCCATTATTTGTTTGAAAAGGAGTAGGCTGAAGTATTTACTTATTTGTCCCTACCCCCTCAAGTTTTACCTCTCATTCATTTAATTTTTTTTTGTCTTAAATTAAACAAACAACATATGAAACATATAAACATATGAAGTAAAACAAAACATAACATACATAAATCAAAAACAAGAAATTAGCAAGCCCCACCACAGTATAGTTTCTTTCATATGAAAAATACAGAATGTGTATATTTGCAGATACACAAGTTATGGAAAAACAACAAACCAAAACAAAACAAAAAAACAAAAAAACAAAAAGACTATTCATGTTTTTAATCACTTTTTTTACAGGTACGAACTCGACACGTGGAAGTGTTTGCCCAGTTTGGCGGTGTGCCGTGCTCAGGAGAGGCCACTCAAACACAAACATGTGTCCCACAGAAAAGATGTCCACTGGAAGCAGGCTGTGGAGACAGGTTTCGCTGCAACTCTGGTAAATTGCAGTGTAAACAAAAATATCGCAAATAATTAAAATTCCTTCTACAGCATTTTTTGGGTTTTTTTTTGCAATCTGTGGATAAACCTCTTTACTGAAACCATCATGCAGGTCAGTGTATCAGCCAGTCTCTAGTGTGTAATGGAGACCAGGACTGTGAGGACGGGCTGGACGAGCGAAACTGCGGCGAAGACAACAGCCTGGCCACGTGTGACCTCGACAAAACACCTCCAAACTCTGACTTCACAGGTCGAGGGTAAGTAGCTACAGCTCCCAACACCAGGAATGTGACTGCAGATCAGAATATGATTTTTGGGAAGGAGAATATTTAACTTATGTGTCTAGAATATAGACTGCATAACCTCAGTGGGTTCTCCTCTAAGTTTTGGACTCAACAATTTGTCTCCATGCTAGCCTTTGAGGCTGCAGTTTGGTGTAAAACTGATGTGTGTGTGTGTGTGTGTTGTGCAGGTACGATGTGCTAACAGGGAAACTGAGAGCAGGTGTGATCAACACTCGAAGCTTTGGAGGGCAGTGTAGGAAGGTGTTCAGCGGTGACCATAAAGTCTTGTACAGACTGCCACACAACATCCTCAGATATAACTTTGAGGTGAGTCAAACAGGAACCTGTAGTTTTCATGCAAAATAAAGTTGGTGAGCTGACTCCTATGAATAACCCAGTAAGATAATAAAAGAATGCTCAATTTGACATCAAGTAGTTGCAGGTAAAAGTTCACTCAAAGTGACAAATTTGCTTTGGATGATGGTCTTTTGAGGAAAACTCTGTTTGATTTGTCCAACTGTTGGATAATAAATGTTTGCAGAAAATTGCCTGCAGTTGTTGAGTTGTGAGCTGACTGACAGCCTGAACAACACGGAGTTGATGTGACAAGCTGCCGTCCGATTTTAGAAAATGCTGAACTCTGATGTTTGTGCTGCAGGTGACAGTAGACAATGACGAGAGCGACGAATCCTACGAGAGCTCTTGGTCCTACATGCAGCACATCCAGAGCAACGCCTTTCTGGTGCACGACCGGCGCACGTTTCACAAGGAGGTTACTAACAACAAGGTGTGTATACACAAATACAGTTTATGTCTTTTTTTTAATTCCAATGAGATTAACAAACTGTACCTAGGCTCAGATCAGTCGGCTCTGTCAGTATCTTGCTCAAGTTTTTCCTTCCACATCTGTTGTCCAGGCCTACCGACTTATAATCCTGAAGAATAAAGTGGAGCTGGCCCAGTTTCAAAACTCTGCCCCCCAGTATCTGACTCTGGCCGAAGGCTTCTGGAAGGCCTTGTCCTTGCTGCCCCTCACATATGACTACTCGGCCTACCATCAGGTGCTCCAGAAGTATGGCACACACTACCTTTCCGAGGGCTCACTTGGAGGCGAATACCAAGCCTTGTTGGAGTTAGACCGTCAGGCACTCGCATCTACCAGTAAGAATATTTGGTATTAATGACACCAGGCATTTTAGTCAATTTAAAATAATGCACACACGTTAGAGATAATCTGTTTGATCCTGGCTTGTTTTCTGTAAAGGTACGACAGATATAGATTACCAGAGGTGTTGGAGGAAAGTTAAGCGCCGTTTCTTCAGGAAAAAAGTCAAAACAGTCTGTGAAAAACTGACAAAATCTGTATCAAGCAGCCACGGTGGGTGAAAGGTTTTTATATCAAGACTTTTGAACCATACACAGTGGCCCATAGAGGGTCAAAGAAACCAAATAAATGATTTAACCTCCGCTTACTTTCTACAGGAAGCAGTGTTAACAAGATGCCCATTAAGGTCAATGTGTTCGGAGGAGATATAGGACTCATTGGTGCTCTGAGTGTTCTGGATCTGGAAAACCCAGAAGCTAATGGAGAAGTTTACGATAACTGGGCTTCATCTGTCAAAGACTTCCCTGAAGTCATAAACCAGAAGGTATAACAGTGAAAAGAGTGAAACATCTATTTGCTTTCTTTCTATTGTCTGCTTCATCCTGGTTAAGTGACTCTTTCTCAGGCCCCTCCAGGTGTGGGGGCCTATCTGCCCTCACCATACTCGTGCCTGCTTCATGCCCTCGGGGGCAGGGCTATGGTTCTCCACAGCTTCTAGCAGATAGTTACATGGAGAAACCTTTTGAAAACACAGGTGTGCACGCAGGCGCTCATAGACACACACTATATCTTCCTTGGCTGCTGCCTCAAAGCATACCATGTGCTGTCGGTCTTGCATGCTGCTCAGAAACTCTGTTACTCTACTTATCTAGGTTGTTGCTGTGGTCTCCCTATTGTGTTGTTCTCTTTTTTGCTCGTTTTCTTTTTCTGTTTTCTTCCATCAGGTGATCGAGAGGATTTTTTTAGTGTCTTCTCTCACTGTCCCTCTTCCCCTCTATTTTTCTTTCCCACCTTTCTTGCTTTCTTCCTTTCCATCCCCCATCCATATCTTTCCATTCTGTAATAACTTAAAATATGATAGATAAATAAATAATAACAATAATAAAGATCAATCAAGTGGACCAACAGGATAGGCAAAAAAAATAAAGTGACTCTTTGGTTTGGGCAGAAACTCAAACAGACTCACAGGAAGGGAAAAATTAGAGTTTGGATTCAGTGAAGTGAGACGTGATCTTTTGCAGAGTTGCCTTTATAAATGTTGTTTAGAGTTTAGGCTTGGCTTCTGCAAGCTATGCATTTGCACTTAAGAAGATATAATTTGGTTTCTTTTCATAATAAATAACCTTCCTTGATGAAGGATTATGTGTATTTGTTTTAAATGTGTTGGGTTTTTTTCAGCTGCGCCCTCTGTATGAGCTGGTTAAGGAAGTGCAGTGTGCAGGACTGAAGAAGCTCCACCTGAAAAGGGCCACAGAGGAGTACCTGGCGGAGGAGCATCCCTGTCACTGCCGGCCGTGTCAGAACAACGGTCAGCCACTGCTGACGGGCTCCGAATGTCGCTGTGTCTGCCGCCCGGGAATCTCAGGACGAGCATGCGAGAACGGAGCTGTGATTGGAGAACAACCAGGTAACCAGCCATAAAACCTTGTGCCATCCAAACTCCTTTCCTAACAAGACAGAACTGGAAACTGAAGCTCTCCTGATTTTCTTCAGGGGTGATCCACGGCAGCTGGAGCTGCTGGTCTTCCTGGGGCTCATGCTCTGGAGGCCAAAGGTCAAGAACCCGAAGCTGCAATAACCCTGCCCCCAGCAGAGGTGGTCAACATTGCACGGGACTGCAGGTGGAACAGAAGCCCTGTGATGACCCAGACATCCAATATTTACAGTAAGAATCATTTTATTTAAGTATTAGTCTGGTAAATGTAACTTAATCAATATAATGGAAATAAATAAATGAAATAAAACAGTTTAAAAAGCAAAACCAAAAGTTTTCATTCATTTCAATCTCAAGGTTTTAAAGGTTATTTGCAATGTCCTTAATGATTTGGATCCACAAGTTGTGATTTTGATATTGCAAACTAATCCACTCCAGTGACATTCATTTAGGAGTATCAGAGTCATCTAACTGCAAACTGTTTGCATTCAGGATGATGGAGCCCCAGTGCTTCAGTCTTTCTGTAACTCCACCAAAAACCTGTGGGCCTCCTCCAAACCTCAGGAATGGATTTGTTCAGGTGAGGCTAAGCAGCTGTTGAGGCTACTGAACCTCTGGTGTTTGGGACTGAGAATCTTCTTTAAGTCCATCAGGCTGAGGATGATTGAGCTTTCCTGTCATTTTTTTCTAGAATCCCAGAGATTTTTACCTGGTTGGAAACACGGTGGAGTACTCCTGCGTGGACTGGTATTACCTCAGTGGAAATGCAGTAGCAACATGTGCTGAAAACCAGAAGTGGACTACAGGACCGAGGGTTTGTAAAAGTACGTTTTGTGATTTATTTATTTTTTTGTGTGTGTGTGTGTATAATTTTTTCTTTTGCTATCAGGTTATCCCAGAAACTGCTGTGTGAATATAGCCACTGGCTAAGAAGCCAGGACTCAGGGGTCTGGAGTCATGGAGTAATTTTTTTGTGTGCCATGTGGTGTTTTATGAGTGCTTTGGTCCAGAGAGAATTCTTCAGTATGTATGAACGGATTCCTTCACATGAGCAGAGGTGGCAAAAACGTAAAGTGACAACTCTATTTAAGTACAGCAACAATGTATTTGTACTTCATTACTTGACACCTTTGCACATGAGCATTTTGTGCTCCTGTTCAGAGATTTCTGGAGCTTTGAGGCTTCTTTTTGCAGTCATCTTAAATTTATTTCAATAGTCACAATTAGGCAGGTTGCATTAGGTTTGTGCAGCAAAAGAGGGAACTGGATGGCTACAGCCAGCTTTGTTACTTACTGAGGTAATGCAGAGGTGATTTCCAAGTCAAAACTTTGCCTTATCTGTTGGTTGAGACACCACGATATTTTCTTCGGATAAAAATTTCCTGCTGTCTGATTAGATGATAAAAGAGTCAGAAATTATTGGTGTTGTGCGTGGTTCAAAGGGGCCTGGGTCCACTCACTTCAACAACTTGTCCATCCTGACTGTGAGAATTGTTTTCTTAGGTGTTTTTGTCAGTTATCAAAACAAATATACAACCAGATGTGTTTTCTTTTCTAAAAGACAGTCAGCAGATCTGTCCTATTGCAGCAGCCCATTTCACGCTGACCCATATCTGTGAAATCTGAGCAGCTCGTCCTGAATCAAATGTTGCTCAGAAGAGATTGAAGAAACTTTCCTTACATTTTGTTGTTTTCTATTCTGCTGTGGGTGCCGTGTTTTTTGACACAGGGATCATGTACACCTGAAGCCTCAGATTGGGAGTAAGGGCGTTCAAAGTGAGGATGAAGTCACTTAATGCAGTTACTTCCACTGAAAGTAAAAAACCTACAGAACATAACATAAGACAGGTTGAGGTGGTTTCTGTTGAGAAAAGTTGTAGCTCACCCAAGTCTCTTTCTTTTTCTCACTCTCTCATCTGTAATGAGGGTAATCATTCAAATAAGACTTTGATAATTGAATTACATTTTGGATATTGCTGTCAACATTAATGAACAGTCTGAAGCCTGCATTGTTTTGTAATGCCAGCAGAGGGCGACTCCTCCGGTTGCAAAAAGAAACGTTTTTTTAATGACTGCATGGACTCAGTTGCTATTTTCGGGTCTTACTGAATAAAAGTTGAAGTTAATTTTGTAAATGATCATCATTTCTAGGGCCCCTAAAGGAGGATAATCCAGGTCATGAGAGTGCTTGTTAGCATATGAACAGTCTAACAGTCAGAGATGCTCCTCAACCATGGTTGGATGCTTCATAGCAGAACTTCAACGGGTGATGTCTTTGGTGGCGATGCCCATCTTTTTTGTACAGTTTGTGGGAACCAGCAGGTTTGCCTCATTTCTACCACCTCCCCCTTGCTGCTTTATAACCACTTGAATTTTGGAGATAGCAACCTGCTGAACAGGGCACACAGCATGATCATAAACCCTACACAGCCTTGTAAGATGGAGTAAAATTAAGTCCCAGAACTGAGTAAAACCTTAAAGATCTCCATGTTTTAAGTTTTTCCATTGTTAGTAACTGTATTGGAAGTTCAGTTTTGTTGTAATTCTCACTCCCTGATGCTCAAAAGCTTTGTCCTCCTGTTCCAGGTTCCACATGTGGGATTCCCTCACTCAACAATTTAGTTGTAGCCACACCAACCAAGCAAGCCTATGAGATTGGAGACAGTGTGTCCCTGTCCTGCCCCGAGGGCTCGGTGATTGACAGAGAGGTGTCGGAGATCATCTGCACTCCCAGTCTGCAGTGGTCTCCTTCTCCTGCTGTTGCTCATTGTACAGCAGGTAAAATGCATTTCATCTTGCTCTTCTTTTTTTGCTCTCTAAGGGTGACTTCTGTCTCTCTAGCTGTTATATGTTCAGTATTTTCTTCTCAATAACTTTTTCTGGCTGCATTTTGGTGGTGGGCTGGTAAGGTGCAGTCAATTTTTGTCACGTTATATCTGCTTTAATATATGGTTGAATCCTGCTTTTTGTATGCTTTCCTCAGCCCCCACAGCTCCCTCTCCTCCTTCTGGCCTAACATGTAAACTATGGGAGACTCTGGGAAAGAACGAGTGTGTCTGTAAAATGCCGAATCAGTGCACGTAAGCTGATGTCCATTTCTGTATTTAGCACATTGGAAATGCTCCATCTATTTATAAAACCTAATTCAAATTCTCTCCGTTTCTGTGTATTATCTTCTTTTAGGACTTCTCTGCAGCTGTGTGCCACACTTCGTGCAAACCATAATATGGTGCTAGATGTCTGTAAGCTCGGAGCTCTGCGGTGTATGGGCCGGAACTTCGTGTTAACCAGTGACAGCGACTGCCGGTGGCCAGAGAAGAAGTTTACATCCTGCGAGGATTGCCAGCCGGGGACAATCTGTCAAGGTGTCTTTATAGAAGACTTTTTCTTTTCTTTTCTCACAATAAAAGCCAAAAACAGGATGTATATGTGACAGGATGCTGTATAAAACCATTGTGCTTTTTAACTGCAGAAGCAGAGAGGAAATGCGTGTGCAGGAATGCATCAGAATGCCCCAAAGACTCTACTCCACTCTGCGTTAGCTCCGGTGACGGCAGCACTCACGTGACCACGACTGAATGTGAGGCGGGGGCCAGGCGATGTGCTGGAGAGCAGGTCAATGTGATCAGTATTGATCCCTGCCAATAATAAAGATGCTGGTTTCGGCTTTTTCTCTCTGAAAATTTTGACATTGTACATACAGTGGGGCAAAAAAGTATTTAGTCAGCCACCGATTGTGCAAGTTCCCCCACTTAAAATGATGACAGAGGTCAGTAATTTGCACCAGAGGTACACTTCAACTGTGAGAGACAGAATGTGAAAAAAAAAAATCCATGAATCCACATGGTAGGATTTGTAAAGAATTTATTCGTAAATCAGGGTGGAAAATAAGTATTTGGTCAATAACAAAAATACAACTCAATACTTTGTAACATAACCTTTGTTGGCAATAACAGAGGTCAAACGTTTACTATAGGTCTTTACCAGGTTTGCACACACAGTAGCTGGTATTTTGGCCCATTCCTCCATGCAGATCTTCTCGAGAGCAGTGATGTTTTGGGGCTGTCGCCGAGCAACACGGACTTTCAACTCCCGCCACAGATTTTCTATGGGTTGAGGTCTGGAGACTGGCTAGGCCACTCCATGACTTTCAAATGCTTCTTACGGAGCCACTCCTTTGTTGCCCGGGCGGTGTGTTTTGGATCATTGTCATGTTGGAAGACCCAGCCTCGTTTCATCTTCAAAGTTCTCACTGATGGAAGGAGGTTTTGGCTCAAAATCTCACGATACATGGCCCCATTCATTCTGTCCTTAACACGGATCAGTCGTCCTGTCCCCTTGGCAGAAAAACAGCCCCATAGCATGATGTTTCCACCCCCATGCTTCACAGTAGGTATGGTGTTCTTGGGATGCAACTCAGTATTCTTCTTCCTCCAAATACGACGAGTTGAGTTTATACCAAAAAGTTCTACTTTGGTTTCATCTGACCACATGACATTCTCCCAATCCTCTGCTGTATCATCCATGTGCTCTCTGGCAAACTTCAGACGGGCCTGGACATGCACTGGCTTCAGCAGCGGAACACGTCTGGCACTGCGGGATTTGATTCCCTGCCGTTGTAGTGTGTTACTGATGGTGACCTTTGTTACTTTGGTCCCAGCTCTCTGCAGGTCATTCACCAGGTCCCCCCGTGTGGTTCTGGGATCTTTGCTCACCGTTCTCATGATCATTTTGACCCCACGGGATGAGATCTTGCGTGGAGCCCCAGATCGAGGGAGATTATCAGTGGTCTTGTATGTCTTCCATTTTCTGATGATTGCTCCCACAGTTGATTTTTTCACACCAAGCTGCTTGCCTATTGTAGATTCACTCTTCCCAGTCTGGTGCAGGTCTACAATACTTTTCCTGGTGTCCTTCGAAAGCTCTTTGGTCTTGGCCATGGCGGAGTTCGGAGTCTGACTGTTTGAGGCTGTGGACAGGTGTCTTTTATACAGATGATGAGTTCAAACAGGTGCCATTCATACAGGTAACGAGTGGGGGACAGAAAAGCTTCTTACAGAAGACGTTACAGGTCTGTGAGAGCCAGAGATTTTCCTTGTTTGAGGTGACCAAATACTTATTTTCCACCCTGATTTACGAATAAATTCTTTACAAATCCTACCATGTGAATTCATGGATTTTTTTTTTCACATTCTGTCTCTCACAGTTGAAGTGTACCTCTGGTGCAAATTACTGACCTCTGTCATCATTTTAAGTGGGGGAACTTGCACAATCGGTGGCTGACTAAATACTTTTTTGCCCCACTGTACACACAAATGTTTTAATCTAATTGCTTGTTTTAGTTACATACGGAAAGTTAATAAAACGTTTTTGTTACTGTATCATACAATCTAAGGACTTATTTTTGCTGTTGGTGGAGCCATTACACATAATTCTGACCCAGCCATCCAAATGTCTCAGCAGAAATCAAGACTCATAAGATCAGGCTGTGTTTTTTCTTTTATTGTCTAATTTTGGTGGAACTGTAGCCTCAGTTTCCTGTTCTTACCTGACAGGAGTGGTACCTGGTGTGGTCTTCTGCTGCTCATTCAAGGCTGGACATGTTGTGCATGCAGACATCGTCTTGTGCATACATTCGTTGCAGTGAACAGTTATTTGAGTTATTGTTACTACCTCTCAGTTCAAAATAGTCTGGCCATTCTCCTCTGATCTCTGACATCATCAAGTCATTTTTTAAATTTATTTAACTATTTTCTATTTTTTTTTATTATTCTCTATAAATCCTTGCATGTCACTTAATTCGGCATCTTTACTGATTTTGAGAGTTATTCTGATACCTCAGCATGTCAAACTGCCTAAGTGCATGGAGTTGCTGCCATTTGATATAGTCACATTAATTTGCAGTGTAAAAAAGGCAAGGGATGAGAAAGTAGTGCAGGAGAAAGTGAAAACAAAGTTACAATTTTATGTTTTTATTTTTGCACGTGAAGCACATTTAGCAAGGATAAAAATACCTGGAATTAGATTTGACTGACAGACTGCTGCTGCTTTCTTCCTCCTTCACACATAAGTCAGATTTTTTTAAACTGCTTCATTCATTATAGAGTATCACTAAAGTGAGGCTATTGATATTCATAGGCTAATGAGAGGCATGCAACTCAGAGGCCATTACAGCGACTCAGAACAAAGTAAAGGTGAGCTCAGCGAAGCTCGCTGTGGTTTTTCACTCTAACCTGCAATTCAGCCTAGTCTATTGCTCCCCTTTGGGAGAGGTTGTTAACTTTCCCCCAAATTTTGTGCTCACAGGCATGTTCACTCAATGTGTAAACTGAAGAAGCAGATATTTTTCAACCAGGAAGTTATGATGATGCAAGTCTTAAAAGCACCTCTTAACCTCATAAACATTTCCTGGAAATGGAGTTTCATTTTTTACTTTTACCAGATATAAAAGTTGTAACTGTATAATATTTCTTTCTTTTTTGAAAATCATTTTTTTATGTCAAAGTTCACACCATGTTGTTGTTTATTATGTCTTTAAATTGATGTTTGTGGTGCTCAACGAGGTCTAAAACTATATGTGCTGAATGCAGTTTTAAACACAACATTCAGTGTTAGGTGCTGCTGAGTATAATGCAGCAGAAAAGCTTTAAAAGCGTCATCACGACTCACATTGGCCTTCATTGAGAATTTCAAACTCGTACTTTGAGCATTTAAGCGCGGCCATAGAGCAAAGGTCCATGCTGCGAGTCCTCTGGAGCCGGGTCAGCTTTATGCAGAACGTGTGCTGTTTCACTCTGGGGCACTCCCGAGCAGCTCTGCACTCACATTTCTTAAACACTGCGGGACAGACGTGAGTTAATATTAGGTCAGTTATTTGTGCTTCATACTGTTAGGCTAAAGGTTTTGTGAGGTGAAACTCACCAGAGCAGATCTCCCACTCATAGCAAGTGTCAAGTTCACAAGGCTCCTGAACAGAGCTCTTAGAGGACATGTTGGCCCTAAACATGGCCCACTCCAATTTGTCCAAAGTGCCTGCGTCGCACGCAGCTTTGCTGACGAAGAACAGCGGGTCACCGTGGCAACGACCAGCTTGGAAGGAGCAGAGCGACATTGACACTGTGACGCCGAGGTCTATGTTCAGGATGCAGAGATTCTCCGGCTGTGAACTACACACACACACACACACACACACACACACACACACACACACACACACACACACACACACACACACACACACACACACAGGGCTGTCAATCACATTTCAAACATTCAAAGAGGATTGTTGTAAAAGTAAAAGTGCATACATTATATGGAAAAATCCATTCAAATGTGACCAGTTCATTCGTAAATACTTACAGGCAGCTCTCCCGTGGGACACAGACACAGCGAGAGTTTCGCAGTACCTGTCCTGGACCACACTGAACATCAGGAACAAATGGTTCCTCTACACACAGCACATACAGAAACAGCATAAACTAAGTATTGTCCACAGAAACTATGTCAGCAGGTTAATGGATATGATCATTTATAGCAGATTAAACTACTCAGAAGTAAAAACAAAAAAGATCAAGGTGTAAAAATTTTGATGTAAATATGCCAAATTTTTAACAAAACTGCTCATTTACACATGTGGTTCTCATTTGAAATCTGAGATAAAAAGTTTTGAGAACAGGTCCACAAAAATCCAAAATCTTTAAATTTAGCCAATTTGTTGTTCACGGTTCTCCTCTGGGAAACGACCAGATGTCCACCAGCGCTGCGGCGGTTTGTAGATAATTGCCTGGAATTCCTTCAATGTTTTCAACGAGCCTCCATACATCGATAAATAAAGGATAGCTAAATAAAATTCACTTTGCCAAAAACTCATTACAACTTCTACCTTGTGTTTGGCATGTTCTTTCTGGCTCAAAATGTCTTGATATAATTCATGAGAGATATGTTTGACAATCAGATTTTGACAAATACCGAAAATCAGTTTTTGGCTCAATCTTCTGACCATTTGGGAATGTCCTGCCAAAGTTTCCAATCTATCTGACTGGGTGGCTTTGGAAAATGTAAAAACTGCAAAGGAGGTTTTTCACTGTGGGTGCACAAAACTGAGCAGCTGATCTTGAATGGAACCTCTGCCAAACTTCAAATCAGATACGATTTTTTACTTTTAAAGGCCGCTTACTGGAACTTGTTTTGTTTTTTAATGAAATCTTGTCAAATAGCTAAAGCTTCAGAACTGTGTATGTCATTTTATTCATTAAAACCATCACCACCTGCTCTCACTGACCGGTGAGTATCTCCAACCAATCAGAGGTTTATCTAATGAATAATACACATGAATGAAAAGTGCAGGTCAGAAATCAGAATTTGACCAGTAGGGTCCCCGTTTTCTCCAGCAGTGTAGTGTACCATTAGTGCAGCGCAGTTCAGCAGGTATTGGGGGCTCCCAGGTGAGACTGTCACCACACTTGTAGAAACCTCGCGGCAGCGGCTGCAGTCCCGCCTCATTGCAGTTCAAACGCACCACTTCACCCACTCTGTACTCGTCTTTGCTGGGAGACAGACTTGTGTCATCAGGGATGTCAGGGGGAAGGCAAATCTTCCCTAAAGGTTACAGGATCACATAGACGTCAGGCGCAGCTAATCTTTGGTAAATGATAAATGGCCTGTATTTGTATAGCGCTGTACTAGTCCCTAATTACCCCAAAGCGCTTTACACATCCATTCACACACACATTCACACACACAA